AGGAGGGCGGGCCCGCTCCCCATGGGTGGGCCCGTGCATGCAGTGTGTGCCCGGGGGTGGCACTGCACGCCCGTGCCCAGGGCGCCAGAATACCTCGGGCCGGTCCTGTATGTGGCCTCTGTATGCTTCTTCATGGGCCAGTATCTCAAAGGTTAGTGAAGTCCTGTGTTGGCCCTTCCCATAAACAGCCTAAATAGCAAACTAGCATTAATTCAGTAGGACAAAACCTGCATTAAATGCAGGTCTAAGTTAGAACAGCTTAAATTCAGTGAATTTAAAATATTGCAATGGAGAGCAACATTTGACCTATTTCTTTTGCAATAACTTTTCTGGATATTCTGATTCAATGTGTGGGCCTGCGTCATCCCTGTACTCCTAACCTCGTATAAACCATTATTGGAAAACAGGATACAGAACTTTAGTCTGACACAGTTTGGCCATTCTTCTGTATTTCTCCAGGGTTAATCCATTGAAACTAATGGAATTGCATAGGCATGAAACTTGAAGTTGCTTTGTGAACCAGGCCTTCTTCTTATTTCTAAATAAACATCTTTTCCTCAAATGAGTGGAACGCTGAAGGACAAAAGTGATTTGAGATTTTTTAGTTGCCTGGGTTATTATTTTTAATTGCTCAGGTGTAATTCAGTTACAACTGGCTAATATTTCTCTTGTATCTTTAGTAAGTTACATAAAGGATACCTACAGACTGTGAATAAATACTTTTATTCATGTTCAAATCTAAATATAATACTTATAAAATCTAGACATTGAAAATGACAGTTTTCTTCATTCAGCTATATAGGAAAAGTTCTAGACTGCCAAATTCTGTCTACAGTCTCTAGTATAAATCTAATTTAAATGAAATCTGTGAAGGGATTAATGATTTATACTGGTTACAGAGAAAAAATTGGCCTTAAATATATGACGCTGTGGATTTAAAAACAAAAACAAACCTATATGTTCTCAAGTAGCATGCCTGTGGCTCCCAGACAAATGCAATAACATGTAGATTGGCAAAAAATGTTCCCTTGGAGACAAAGAGATGTTCTACGTCAGCCCACAACAACACATTCCCACTGTTCAGACTAATAAGAACAAGCATTTTGCAAAGCTGGTGCAGAGAACTGGAGTGATCTTTATATGGCGGTAAGTGACTGCAGCAAGAGAGACATCTATGGAATCTGGAGCAACACATGGAACAAAGGTACAGCTCTGCTCCCACCGTGAAAGAGCCTCAGGCTGTACACAAAGCACATGGATTTAATCTCTCCTGTATTGCTCAGAACTGAGACTATAATCAGAACAGATAAATGGGCGTTTTTATATTTATTTACGTTCTGGAGGAGCAAGCAGGAGATAGATACCAGATTTTTTTTTCATGTCAACAAAGCATTAAAGAAAAACCTCTCCCTAATTTACTCAAAGGGAAGATAGACAGTTACCAGAATTTCATCATCAACAAGTTGCACTGACTGCCAGTCCTCTTTTTTAATGTTGCCTTGGCATATCCACCAGAGCCATCACTCTACTCTATGTAGTGCCTTTCTGCTGAGCAGCCCTGCTTTGCCCCATGACCAGTACAACTAAGAAGAACATGGGCCTGAGCTTCACTCAGGTTCTGGCATGGTCTAGGGGATAGGGCATTGGGCTGGAGAAAGCAGGTAGGTGGGTTCTAATCCCCCAACTTTAGCAGCTGAGGGATAGCCTAGTTAAAAGCCAGATATTCTGCTTGCATGGATGGAGATCAGGTATACATGCACTGTCTTCAGTAGGCTTACAGCAGTGTAACAAGCCACTATTACACTCTTCTATGAAAGGATACTGCTGCTTGGGAGACTTAGAATGAACATCATTCTTCCCTGATTTACCACAGGGAAAGCATTGTTAGAACAATGCAACTCTACTGGGCAGGAAACTATTGATGAATTATTATTTATACAGTGCCCCAAAATGTACTGGCCATTCTGCAGATACATAGATAAGATAGCTGCCTAGAGAAACTTTAAATCCAGCTGTTCAACTGCCTAGGAGATGGAGCAAGGAATTAGGAGGTTTCCCTCCCTCTTGTTGGCAGGCAAAATGCAGCCCTCCTGCTCCCCAAGAACAAACCCAAACAGCCTCTCAAGATGCACAACACCTTAAAAAAAGGATGTGGAGGGGTTGGTGGATTTATGTCCCTTGCCTCCCTTAGTACTGGGCATCAGAGCTGGTTGAGTCTGACTGTATGCTCTACTCCTGGGATGGGTATATTCTGTGCCTTTGCCCTACAGGAGCTGTCTGTGAAGGCCAACTTCAAAGGGACAGAGCAGAATGCAGTTGCCTAGGCACTCTGGTATTTCCACAGGGTAAGGCTGCACCTCAAGGAGACCTTCCTTTTACAAGCTCTGATCTTGCTAGCCTGGGTCTCAAACCAGTGAGGACATAATAGCTTGCACTTCAGCACAGCCTGTGCAAGTCCATCTAACCACCCTCCCAGAGAATCCCTTATGGCAAGACCAGCTTGGAGCCGCAGACACGTGGCAGCAGCTGAGATAACTGACATTCTGCCAGCTGTGGAGGTCTCAAGAAACAGATTGCCTTTGGGGAAACACCCTGGTTTTCAGGTAGATTTGCAGTTCACAGTACATTTTATAGAATTTGTTTGTGTTCCAATAAGGAACAATATCAGGTTTGGAAAACATGACATTTTGCACGAACAGGGAATTCTGCATTTTGGCCTGCACTCTACCTGAGAATGCTTTTTTAACCCACGTAAGTGTGCTCAGGGGAATACTGGGTACTTCTTACCTCATGTGTGGGCTATGCACCCCGACTTCAAAGGCTGTCTCTCACTACTTGGAATAACTGCATATTACACACTTTGGCTAGCTCCCCTTAGCACCATTCTTTTCTAGCTAGTTCAGTCTGCTGTGGGCTCACACTGAGCCTGCAAACACACAGCATGTGACCTTTCATCCCCACATGTGTTCTTAATGAGCTTCCCAAGCATCCAAAGGAACACAGCCTGCTTGGCAGCCTCAAGCCTGATCCTCTCCCTGTGGGTCATGGATGCTGTCTTTGGCGCATGAGGGTGGACAGTCTAAGCAGACATGTGGTACCAACATGGCATTACAGTCACAGCAGAGTCTGTAGAAGGCTGCTTCCCAAATGTGTTCCCATCATTGCATACAGCACCATGTGTGAGACACCCATTGGCATGCATGCTGCTAGTACAAATGAGAGCCTGAGATAGAAGGGACACATCTATTTTTGGCGTGTTTTGATTTTTGAAAGAGGAAAATAAAGCTACAGCGAGTTGTTTCAGTTCTCTCTCTTTTTGCCTTCTTTACTCTCCAGCTTGCCTTTGTGCACATACACTGAACCAAATTCTCCAGGAATGTAACTCTGCATTTTGGTTTGGAATGTAGCCTCCCTCCTATTACATGTTTCATTGCTTCAGAGCACATTCAGTATAAGGGGAGTATTGCAAAAGCTTTGGCTCAGTTTCTCCTTGGTTTTCTGCAACTTCACCTAGTCACAAGTACGTTCCAGGCTGCTTTGGTGACTTCGCCTTCCATGTAACTCACAGTTCCACCCCTTGTGGGATACCCACATTCAGAGAGCACATCTAGAGGCATTCAGGCCTGTCAATACTTCTTCCTTCCTGCTTCCTAGAAGGAATATTAAATTCCTTTTTGGGTTTTGACTCAAGGGACCCTCTAAGACCCTCTAGGGTTGTGCACAATCCCAATTTTCACTCCCCCATCAGCTCCTAAGGTAAATAATGGTGACAGGGCTGACTGCACTTCTTTGGATATTGTGCAGGGCTTACATAGGATCACTTGTTTTCATCAGTTATCCTGCAGTTGGTAGCTTTGAGACATGGGTGCATGACATGGCCATTTATACCCTCTCTCTTTTTGGCTGAGAAACAGCTCTCCTGCTGCATGGGGAATGCTGCTAGAACCCACCTATCAGACCCCATTATATCCCTCATTATCTGAAGGGATCCAAAAGGATTGTACCAGTAATTCACTGTTGATGATCCATATGCCTCTATGGAAATGCCCAGCAAAAGGAACAGTAAATATGGAATTCAGGCCCCAGGGCATGAAAATACACAGGAACTTCCACTTCAAGAGTAACTGGGGCAGAGGTTTCCAATACTGATATAAACACCACTGAGTAGCAGTGAGAAATATCTCTAGACACACCCAGTTCCCAAGAGGTTAGCCTTTTACAAAGATATATTTTCACTCCAGGAGGGCAACAGAATTGCCAGGCCCCTGGGCAAGGTTGGTGGTGACCCCAAGCTTCCAGAAGGGGTGGGGTCTTGAGAAGAACGGTAGGGTTGGGGGCAGCTGGACCCGCCACATCTCTAGTTATTCTTACCACCAGATCTTAGCACCACCCGGAACACACTACCTGGGGTTCCAGTAGTGATTGAAAGGACCCAGGCTGCCACCATCACAAAGCCTGTTTCCACCCCTTTTGCATTTCCTTGTTCTGACTGCAAATAAAAGCAGAAGTGCCAAAATGCCACAACAAAGGCTGTTCTTGTGGCATCTCTGGCCTGACTAGAGGGAACAGGAAGTTCA